ATGTTGATAACTCGAGAACAAAGAAATCTGGAGAACATGCGGTTTGCGCCCTTTATAACTTGAGAAATGCCCTTAAAACATGTATTTTTTTCGTCAAATTAAAAAATCGACCCCAAACCCGTGCCTGAGCAGATGAAACGACCCACCCACACACACGTACATATATATATATATATATATATTCTTATACAAAGGCATGTTGGCGGCGGCAATCCTCATCGCCTGGCCGCACGCGCGCGCAAGCGCGCGCTGCACTTGCATTTTTTTTTTTTTTTTACGAGAGAGGGAAGGGACGCGGGCGGGCGGGCGTGCGAATCTTGCGAATTGTCTGACCCTGGTTCCGAGCTTTGGCTGTCGGAGGGCAGGACCGCTGCCGCCAAGATGCACTTGGATACAAATCCGAAACCAGAGTACGCGTCGGAATTAAAGGGTTTTTCAAAACATGGTAAAACAATCGGCATGCTTTATACTTGTCTAAAAAAGGTTGATGCAGGGGTTATTGATGATGCCCAGTAAGTTTCAAATTGAAACTATGGCCTTTAAATGAACAAATGTAAAGTTACTCTCTAAAAAACTAAAAAAAACAGTTTTTCTAAACGTTATTTATTTCTCTTAATCGGCTCTTGGGCAAACAGCAACACGGCATCAAGCATTTTTCTGTGTGATGCTTAGTTTTCGCAGGAGCGATGTGGCTTGCGTTTTCCGAAACACCATATATATATATATATATATATATATATAGAGAGAGAGAGAGAGAGAGAGAGAGATTGTAGCAACCGGCTGTTCGGACGAAGGAAGAAGAGGTGGACAAGGGAGAACGAGCTGGGAGGCCGAGCTCAGAACACCGGCAGCTCCCGACCGGACTGGACGTGTATATAATTTTGTAATAAAAAATAGGTAGGGAACTTCTTTCCCTACATATATATATATATATATATATATATACATATATATCTTCTTTTTTTTTCTTTTTTTACGTACGTCGCGGTGCCGTTTTTTACAGCCGCATATGTTTTTGGCCGATAGCAGCGGGTATGCTGGAGGCGGGCCGCGTGCTGGGCTTCGGGGTAATTAAATAAAAATACATAAATATATAAATATGAAGCAGCCGTATGACCACGGCTACTTTTGACATGAAGTTCACCTTCTCTTCGGCATCTGAGATTTTCGACAGAGCCCAATGTAAGAGCTGCGAAAACGTTTTTGAGGCATCTCTCACGTGGAAAGAGGTATACTGTTGCTCAGCTTTCGCTTAGCGCATAAGCAGGCCGTCCCTTCTTCTACTTACGCCAGCTGCGATCTTGACTGAGAGGGCTCTCAGTGGATCCGCAGAAAATTCATAACGACAGGTGAAAACGCACGCGATTAGAAGACAGCGTAAAGTGCCCGACGTATGCGCCACATAAGGTCGGTCACATCGCGCAAACCCTTTGGAAACTCTCTAGACTGCCGTTGCGCAAACTGCCATTTCGTCGTCCACGTGTCAGCCGCTTCAATGAGACCCCGGAAAAACTGTCCTCCTTCCCCTTCCGCCTTTTCTGATATCTTCTGCTCTTCCGCTTCCGCTCTTCCTCGCTCTCCCTCTAGCCATAATCGGCCGACTTCCATTCGCGTCGCCATACTGTTCTGGTTCCTTTCTTCTTTTTTTTTTTTAACAATTATTCTTCTTTTGAGGAATGTCAATCTGCCTTTAATAGAGTTACTATAAAGTTAAGCTAAATACCCTGATACTAATTTTGTGTGCCCTTGGTCTCCTATCCTCTGTTTCAAGTTAAGTCCGACCGCAGCTAAGGCCCGCTTCACACGGGGCAACTTTTCCAGCAATCTTGAGGTTGCTGGCGGGCTGTTCCCTAGCTTTCCGTCGCTTTCCCTATATCTACACGAATTGCTGAGATTGGGTCCGGCTCGAAACGGACGAGCAACTCGAACAACTCGGAGACGTTTGAAGCTGAGCAGCCAATCAGGGACGCGATATTTTCACGTGAAAACCCTTTGGTGGTGATGATGACAGCTAGAATATTGGTTGTGGTTTTAAATGGATCGTTTTTGGAAATAAACCTCTTCAGAAAGATGAGTTAGTATTCTCAATGCCATTCAAAGATATAAAAACACGCTTTTAGTGCGTAGCTGTGCGTCTAAATTGTGCGAAAAAAAAATCAAATTGAATGATGACGATGGCAAGTCGTAGCAATTCGTTTGCTGCGTGTGAACGCAGCAACCGAATTGTACAATTCCGAATATATCGGACTATATTTTGTACCAACCCCTCCTATCACAACCTTAAATTTGAAATAGCAGCATTTATAGATAAATAAAATTAACGCACAGACATGTTTCAAGAAATTCGGTTCAAAGCAAAAACATGTTGGAAGTTATGAATATTCGTGTAATATGGTGAGATGCAGTTCTGCTTGTGATATACGGCGACACTGATGCAATACTGGGGGACGGCATGACTTCTAACCTGTAATGTTTACTGCCTATCAAGCAGTGGTGATTTCAATACCGCACGGTATGGTCCCCCAAGTCAAAACAAGCATGCTGGGGCGGGGCTTTAGGACAGGAGTGATCTCTGTGTTCGACAGAGCAACCGTTCGGTACACGAGCTCAGTGCTCGGGTACGCCAATACAAGCGGCCACAGATTCGCGCCCAAGTCAGCCCGGATTTCGGGCCTCGTGAGCGGATCCTCTTTACCTAAAATCTTGGGTTGTAATGCTGTCAGGTTGAGTGAAAGGCTGTTCGACACAACTGTGTTTTAGAATAAGGCGCCTCAACGCACATGTGCAGGGCGGTGCCCCAAGCTGCATGGGGGACTCTTTTTTTTTTTTTTATTCTCTAATCTTATGGCGCGTTGCGGCCAGAGCTCGTTACTCCGTGTAAGGGACCGGTGTGCACAGACTTCGAGGTTCGCGGTGTGCTAAGCAATTTCGGAGGTCAAGTTGAAGGTTCAGAAACGCACGCTTCGAGGCAGGGATCTTCGAGACGAGCGCGCTTGCAAGACCGATGGGTAATTTGCAACATCGCGAACAATGATTACTACCTGCGGCGAACGAATCTGCGAAGGGGTGCCGCGGACCAGTGATGACGTGGAGTCCTGACAATCTGCATTCCGTAAATTTTCGGGATGCCATCATCTAGGAGCGAGCTGGTGACTGCCAAGTAGAAAAGCATGGCCTGGCTAAATAGATGTTGATCGACGTACTGCGTGAAGCGACTCGTAGAAGGCGCAACGCTGCTTTCGTAGGCAAAGGAAATATATGCGGAAGTCTTATGACGTATAATGCGAGAAATGCACATTCAATTACCTGCATGGTATCTCCCAGTCGGTTAGCTTCTGATTGTTTCTTAATATGATCGATCAATATCCCGAGAAATAAGCGACTATTTGTCCGGTTGTCAATCGTCCATCGTTTTCAGAACTGCCGTTTTGAAAGCCCTCGCTTTCTAACCGGCAGTCTTATTACGCAAGCGGTCAGTCGATGGGGCCATTCTTCAAAGTTGGGTGTTGCGCTCGCTCGTGTCACGCTCAGGTTCACCTGACTCTAGGACCATCTGATTTGACAATGCTTGAAAATTAAGTTGGTTTAGCTCGAAATCCCGAAATATGATTGAGCAGCTTTTGCTATCTTGAAAAAATGCACTCGATCACAAGTCTCTTTTCTATGATAACACAATCGTACGATCCTTCTACGGCGTTCACCGGCGGCAGGCGTCGCGAATAAACACGCAATCAAACATCTGATAAAGTATTTAGGCCCGTGCCTGCTGTACTTTCTTTCTCTTTCCTTAATAAATGAGCGAAAATTGAATGAGAAGGAAACATTGGCGACGTTTTTAGCGGTTCTGATGAAAGCAACTTGACTCGCTTATGTATACAAGTAGCCTTAAACGCGTCGTTGAGCCTCGGAAGGAAACTGCTGCGATGCACTGAAATGCGCGGAAAAGCAGGCCTTAGAAGCGAAGGGGGATGGAGCACTCGCTCGTGAAACAGTTCTTGGGCGTTCACACAAGAATGGTTGACGGTGATTGTAAGAAACGCCAAACGTAGATGCTATCAAGGGTAGACTGAACTAGAGGAGGTGTAGTGAGATCAGGCACCGACAAGCGCCATGTATTGCTGTGAAGCCGCGAGTGCAGAAAGGTCCCGGATGGACTCAGCGGCGGTGCGGTAGCACGGGCTGGAGGATCACAGCGTTCCGAGAGCCTTCGGCGAGCAGTTTGGCTCGGCGGTTTGGCAGCGAGAACGGCCTCCCGTTCAGACCTTTCGGCCGTGTTTTCTGTCGCGTACGTCGAATGAAGTGCAATGGCAAATCAACTACGACGACAACGACGACGACCACGCCAGTAGCCCAGAAAATGCAATGCGAAGCATGCGCTACTCCAGCCCCTGCCTTAGTGGCGCCCTCTCGATCCGTCCACATGAAGTGCTGCAGCCGCGAGCGCTCGCTGAGGTCATTATCCCTCATCTGACGAGGGGCTTCAGTGCCGGATATTCCTCTAGTATCGTTTTCTCCGATTTCACCTCTACGGGTGTTCTCGAGCCGCGTTCTAGCGTAAACTAAACCGTCTAAATAAACCAAAAATTTAAGTGCAACGGAACTTTCAGAGAGATGTATTCAAGTTGTGCATTTATAAACAAAAATTTCGTAAATGTAGGTTTCTGAAAAAAAATGCAAGAAACAAAATAGGAAAATATTGTTTTCCCATGCGAGAGAGGAAAACAGAAGCAAACAGTCGCGTTGACGCTGCGCTAGTTAGATAACGTACCACACCTACAGCTTGACCACACACGCCCGGATCTGCTCGATCGGTTTCATCAGCCCAGCTTTCAGAAGATCTCTTTCATCGTCCACTGCAAGCTCGTGGTGCATTTCAACGTCCCTCTGGGAGTAAAATTACAGCCTTCGTGCTGCCGACCTGGCTATGAGGTAATCGCACCGGACGACATAACGCTTCCATCTAGCCGTCTGCCTGTCAACCACTGCGCAATGCCGAGGAAGGGGGAAGTTGCGTGGGAGTTGATACCTACCCCGGACGCGTGGCGTGGTGTCAACAGCGTATCCGTTACATGGGAAACCCAGGTTTAGCTGCTGGCAACGTTTCTCTTAACTTTGGACACAGCCACGGGTATAAAGGGCGCACTAACACTTGGAGCGCCTAAAAAGCTTTTTCGCCTATGCGCACAGCAAAGGTAAGACAATCTTTGGGATGTTTTGCAGCCGGACGAGCAATTTTCCTCTTCTATGAGACAGAAAAATGCGTTGTATTTCATATAATATTAAATTTAGGAATGCCGTCTTTTAGGCTTCCGCGTATCAGTGTCGCATTTATAAAAAAAAAAAAAAAAGAAAAAAGAAAAACGTATCTCGGTACGCATTTTTTATAAAAGCATGAACACGAATCGCAGCTGGTTTCTTTTTTAGTCAAACGTTGTTTTGTCAAGATCGGGTTAAATACCTCTAGTTAAATCAATCGAGCCCTACCGCTTTGTTAAGTATCATGAGAGTGCTTCGGCAAGCTCACTTTGAAACCCCATATATATTCTTGTAACATTCTTTCCCAAAATATCTCCAGGAGAATAATCTTCGGGGACCCTTGGCACTTCTAAGATCTGATTTGTTTCTTTTAAATGCCAGTATCGAGTAAAAGGACGTAAACGTTCAATATAATTGTTCGATCGCTTCTTCAGTAAATCCGCGTCTTCCGTCTTTTTTTATCAAAGATGTCAGCGGTTGTTAAAAAAATTACAAAAAAGGAGGCTTAATAAACAAAACACGAGCCCATCACAGAGCGCGTTTAACAAGGTAGCGAAAAACGTGAAATAATAAAATTATTTTTATGATATGGTTTTATTTTACGTGCTAGAAAAACCATCAAATGAACATTTTCCTCTATCTGCACACTGTAGGCGTTTATTAGTTCGTGTTTCATTTCTTCATCAATACGCGCGTCTTCGCTTGCTCTGTTTGATAGAACTTTAGCCTATTGCCTGAACCATTGACATCCTTTTATGGTATTTGTTTTTATGTCATCATGACTTCTTCTGTACTACTTGTTGCAGTGAATCTTGCTGCAACTGAAGCTCCGGTAGCTACTCTTCGAATCATGAAGGTCCTTGCCGTCTCGATTGCCTTTTTGCTGATCGCTGGTAGGTCTTAACCTAAAAAAAAAACTAATAATAATAAAAAAAGAAGTTCAAGAAAATGTGAGGGTTGGTGGAGATAACTTTGTTATCCTCTTTTTTTCTCTCGAAGGTCTGATCAGTACAACGCTGGCAGAAAATGATGGAGAAGAAAAAGAGCTCGTTCGAGTTCGTAAGTATAGTTAAAACATTTATTAAAAACACTTTGCGTGTGAATGAGATTGTGTGCGTGTCTGCTATATCTTTAATATTAGTCTGTTGAAAGAATAAAGTTATTATCTCGTAACTTAATTTAACTTAATTTTTAGCTTGTAAAGGTATTCACTCCCGGCATGGTATGTGTGTGCAATAATTCAATGAATTATGTGAATTATTAATGAAACTAATAATTAAATTATTTTCGTTATTTATTTATTGACTCAATTTACGATCATTACATAAGTGAAATACATGTTACAGTTACATGAAATACAAGAAAACCGAACCAACATGTGTTCATAGCCAACAGGGCTAGTGATATAGTATTAATATTTTTTTTTGTGAGTACTGTAGCATTTTGAAAGAAAAAAGTTGCTAAAAGAGCTGATGCCAAGCATTTCTGCGCCGACCTCTCAGAAGAATTTATGAGCGATTCTCAAAACAACTTTTTTCTTTTATTGACAGGCCGCGGTGGTTATTACTGCCCATTCCGGCAAGATAAATGCCACCGTCACTGCAGGAGCATCGGGCGAAAAGCAGGCTACTGCGGAAATTTTCTGAAAAGGACCTGCATCTGTGTCAAGAAATAGGTTCCAAATCAAAGAGGATTACGTCAATTGACGCAGCAGAATAAAGTGCATTTCTACAGTCTCTTCAATGCAACGCATGCGCTGGACTCGACGGAGAAAACTTTCATTCGACGTACACGGAGAAGACAACTGAATTCACGTTTGACAGCGCGGACAAGAACACTGTTATTTCTTGAGCTATATGAAAGTTATAAATAAAGCAAAGAACTAATATTTGTCGTTCTTTTTCCTACACATGCGGCTCGAACCGGTACACTAATGTGTACATGTGTTGAACCAGATGGTAAACCTGAGACTGGAGTAGAAAAAGAAAAACGCATAGGGAGACAGTTTATTTTGTACACGCCTTATATACAAACTCTCCAGCTATGCAACTGAGTCTGAGAAATTGCCTGTTTTCTTTTTTTTCTTCTTTGTCTTCTGTTGCGTTTTATTTTTCTCCCCTAGTCTCAGACTTACCATCATGTTCAACTTACACCAGCTCGCATGACTCTTTTTTCGTTAAAGGTCTTTTTCGCTTTGGCCTGAATGCATGAAGACTCAGGCATTTATGTGACTGCAATACACTATAATCACTGACAAGTTCGGAATGACAAGGCGTTTCTCTGTCAAGCGCCAGGCCTCTGCCGAGCCCTTTACGGGCAGCACACCTATATTGGTCCGTTGCACTTCCGCCGAGCTTTGTCAGCGTGTGCACGCTCCGGGCTCACGGGACGCCGAAGCACCATCGAAGGTGGGAACCATGCGTTGGAAACGGGACAACTGAGGCTTCTCCCTACCCCTCTGATTGTGTGTGTGACTATAAACGCGCTCATAACCAGATTACACTAGTCTTCCCTGAGGACGTGGAAGTACCTTTCGGATATAGAAATTAATTGACTTTCGTGAACTATACGAGAATTCAAAATATCAGTGAATTATTATTGCCACTGAAAATAAGCTATAATTTGTGGCACTTAGAAATAAGCCTTATCAGCTGTCCAAATGATTTATTATATATAAGCCCCCCATATGCTTAATTGATCATTCGGTTGAAGTATTTTCTGGGGTGATTTTTGTCTTAAGCTTAAAGGCGTTTTTTTTTTCAGATTATTTGATACTTTAGATGTTTACGTTTGGTGTCCGATGAGACATCGGCGTTGTTCGGGGCTGGCGCCGAAGAAAGGAGAGTAGGAGGCAGAGAATTCCCCAGCCCCAAGAAACATGAGCGTCATCCGAGGGAAATTTTCGTAAGAAAATATCTGCCTCGCGGACAGTTCGATGGGGACCGTATATCGGTTCAACGGAAAATAGGACCGCAGAAAACATTTCTACGGTGAAGCTTGGGTTTTCTTAATAGTAAATACCAGTTACAATCTTGGATATACATATATATATATTTTTTATTTCTTTATTTGATAAACCGGTTGGGGATAGCTTTTTGAAGGTTTATATGCGTGTACCGAAAACACAGAAGACTATTAATAATAAACGCAAACAATTTGGCCCTAAAAGAAAAAAGAAAAGGCAGCGCTTTACTGTTTGCCATCAAAGCTTAAGTGTATGGGTGGTGGCAGAGGGTTGCTTCTCCGCCTCTGCTCCGAGTATTTTCTCCTCGGACACATAGCCCGCAAAAATCAAAAAAAAAAAAAGAAATAATAATAAAGAAAAAGAAATCAAAGGCAAACGTACTGAAACTTTGCAGTCCAAGGTTGTCCGTGGTGGTGTGTTTTCCTGCGCGTGCGGGCAAGACTCACGAATCCGCCTCTGCTTTCCACGCTTCGCCCCAAGCGACCATGTTCGTACACTCCGTTCCACCATACGATGCAGCTCGCAGCGGACGCTACGAGCAATCTCAGCCAACCTGGCGCTGTGAATATTTAATGTGACCGCTGGTTTCGCGCTAGTCCACATCTCTCCTGAAGGTCACGCGTGATGCTCGCACGGCATTGGATTAGCTCGGATAACTTGTAACGTCGAATACACAAAAAAAAACATGATCCCGGTACATCAGTTGCGCGCGATTGGTTTAGTCGATTGCAAACGCGCAAAGGCTCTGAGCGTCCGTGACGATGCATTTTCGATGTTGCTTGATTAGCTCCGGCGGACAGCAGCGTCGGCTGAATGCGGTCCAACTTAGGTAACTTGAAACGGACCATGGAAAACTCCCTCTTCAATACCCGCAGAATGTGTTCGCCATACGTGATCGGCGGAGATTCTCGCAAAAGATGGCGCACAGGCGACAGTATATCATGAGACTTCGGTGCGACCGCGGCATCATTCACTCGATGCCACTTTCTCGCGTCATCGTGTTTATCCCGCATTGACTAAAAAGTGCCGGACGACCTCTGTTCTGTCCACGACTTCCCAACACTTATCACCCGGGCGTCATATCCCGAGTCTCTGGGATGGACGAGTGCGCGGAAGCCCGATATTCCGCGAAAGAGAGCTATTGGGCAGGAGATCGAACTGTAGGAGGCGCTTTATCGAGGTTGTTGTCCCCACAGCCCGGTGTTTACTAACACAGCATACCAAAGAAATCGAACCTCGTCATGTACGGCCTGGACAAGAGCGCTTCGCTCTGACCCATGCTGGCCTTCGAATCGTCATCTTCGATATCGCTGATCAAAAACAAACAAGAAAATTCGGTTTGTTGCCCCCACAGCTGAAGCGTGCCGCTAGAGGCGCGACTGTTCGATCTCCTCCCCAATACTGCAAATGCTCAGAACGCGTTCTAGAGCCCAGTAGGCACGCGTGAAGGTGTTTCACCAAGTGGCCTCTACAAGTAAATGTGAAGTGGTAATACATATTAAAATGCACTTTAAGCAAAACAAAAAAAAAAACACGGGCGGTTTTGGCGGTGCTACGCTGCAGGCTACTTAGAAACACGACAGCATATCGACATTTCATTGATGAAGGCAATATTCCGCCGATTATATTGGGTCGAAGATCGTTCGCTCAATCAGCTATTGGTCGCTACAGCGCAAGTCCACCTTGCTTCTCTTTTTATATCCAAATGTTTTTCTTTCGCTCCGGCATCTTGTAGGCTAACTATCATGATGAGCATCAATGGTCTGCCGCTTCTGTTCAGCGATGTCTCTCTTGAGTCCGTTTTTTTTCTTGAGAGGCGTCGTGAAGACTTCCAGCAAGCGTATGTCCTCTATCATAGGATGAATAAATGAACGGATGAATGCCGTTTGTATCGAAGGGTAGCTTGCGCCACCTAGTTCAGAAACAGTTACGCTCTTCCGCTTTAAATGTTCCTATATAATTTTTCACGTGGCTTCATTATCTACCCCTTGCATTTACTCGCGTAGTATCGCGCTTCCTTACCAAACTTTAAACTTCCTGATTGCGCTTGCAATCCTTTATTCCTCTGTTATTCCACCCTCCTCGGAAAAATCCAGCTCTCCACCCCCCCCCCCCCCCCCTCCAGATCGGCTACCCTACTATGAAAAGCAGAGGTTCCATGCCGCCCCCCCCCCCCCCCCCCCCGCCCCTCCGCATTTCAAGACCGCAGACAGTCGTTTCGTCGTCTGCGTGTCCCCGCTTATATGGTATACCCCGGAAAATCCATCTTCTGTGCGAACATCTAGATCCCAATCTGTCATCTTTCTCCTTCCACCCCTCCTCGTATCTTCTGCTCTTCCGCCCCCGCCCTTCCTGCCGACTCGAGCAGGAATCGGCCGAGTCCCATCCACGTACCCATCCTGTTCCAGTTTTTTTCTTTTCTTACATTTTTCATGTATAAAAAATATATGAAAAATTCCGCCTAGTTACTAAATATTTAGGATATAGATAATTGTTATTTTTTTGTTTGTCCTGTGTCTACTATACTACTTTTCACGTTAAGTCCTACAGGCGCTCCGTATTTTTGGGCGTTCGCATTCAGCGGCCAAACCGATCGCGCAAACAAAAAAGAAAAAGCGAAGAATGGCACCACATTTTCTGTGCGCGATTTATTTAGCAGGGGCATAGCGAAGGCGCAAAAACAACGAGCGTTATGTCTGTGCACGTTTTCCGCCTCTCGGTTGGCTCCCTCAGATCGCTTAGCGGGTGCTGGTGTCGGACTTGGTGTGAAACGGAGTCTCACACCAAGCCTCACAGCGGAACAATAGGGCCGTATAAACGACGCATTCAAGCTCTTTTTTTCCTACACAGACACAGATTGGAAAGACATGCCGTCCGATATGTTGCGAATGCTGGTCATTTTCTACACTCTTGTTCTGTGTCATCGCGGCAAGTGCATGCTGTGTGATATTATTTTTGATTCCTGTCCTGTCGCGGCTTCTAAGATTGACAATATTGTTTTAAAAAAATCTCTCTTTATTTTTACGCACACACACACACACACACACACACACACACACACACACACACACACACATATATATATATATAAGACCCCCAAAAAGCTTGGGGCGTCGCACTGCGCAGGCGCAGAAGTTCGGCGCATGCGCAGTGCGAGGCAGCGGGCTCCTGGAGGGACACAAATCATTGGCGCACACTGCACTAAAACTTTCTAATATTGGTAATATAAGCCAAGCAGCACGGCAATACTTGGCTAGTGTCGTGCCAGTGCCGTCCGAAAATTGTCTCCAATATCGGCCGAAGGTCAAGTTTTGAACTACAGTCATATATCCGGCATCCAGATATCCGGGTATCCAGATATACGTCGTATTTATTTATTCATTTGATACCTGCATCGCCCAGCGGGAATCATGCTAAAAAAAAGGGGGCGGGGGAGGGTTGCATGAAAAGTGCAACGAGCTCTCCCTTTGGAAGCTTCGCTGTCATTCTTCACGTACAGAATTCAACCCGCCGGATAAAATTTATTGCCTCAAAGTTCGACACAAATGTTTTCTTCTCGTACCTCATGCGTGTTAAGCAACTCTGTCAACAATTCAACAGCAACCGGATTCCGATTAGTTGCACTGTTAAACACGAAAAGAAGTTCATTCCATGGAAAGAGAAGAAAGTTTACTCCACCCCCTCTAGCTGCGGCTATCATACCTAGGCCAGACCGGCAGATGCACCAATCACAGACTCCGGGAACATCACAACGAAGTTTCTAAGGCCTCTTCAGATTCCTATCATCCAATAGTCATAAATGCCCGTTCGTGTTCGCTTTGTCATCCCCTCTTTGATTAAACAAAAATCCTGAGGGGGGGGGGGGGGGGGGGGGCATGACAGCAGATTTGGCAGGGAGATAGTCATTCGCCATGA